TTTTTTTAGACTTTGTCGTATCGCATATCCATATCGTATCGTACCCATATCCCCATATTCGTATCCGTGCTTCATAGCTACTAACAGAGTCAAACATGGCGCCCTTCTTGTTCTAAAAGAAGTTAGACTCCATGAAAGCGTAGATCTTCCCTCATAAGACTGCTTATACATCAACGAGGCTGGTTAGGAATTTAAGGCCATCTAAATTTCTCCGTTTAGCTTTTGCTATTTGGGGATCTAATATTTTGCATATTGTGGGCTCTGCTTTTCTTTTTGTAGCAAAAACTACTCGTAAATTCTCTCAAACAATACAAAAGCTACACTGACTCACTAGCAATCTACAAAGTTGCACTTTTATTCATACAGCATTGGAACCACTCTAGTTTGACAAATCACTTCCAATATCCCATGGAACGCCGTCAGTTCAATTTTTTACGTCACTCTCTATATGCAAAAATTCACAGTGAGATATCAAAATATGGGGGCAAATCCCTGAAAACATGGTATTATTGCACATTGATCAATTCTCACGCCATTAGTGGCTATAGCTTCTGAATTCTACGACTTCTTAGAGAAATGGATTCCTGCTATCATGCACTTTGGAAGAATAAAATTAGAATGCTACACTGCATGAGCCCGCATGTTTTCTATGATTAGCAGAAAGTAAACATAAAATATGGAATATATCATGTTAAGCAATACAGAATAAGCAACAGAAAAAGTTTTAAGTGTTTAATCCACAATCTGTATCATGTAAATTTCTCAAGGAATATAAGAAGTTCTTTAGTAAAAAGAAATTTGCATCGCTGCCTTAAACACAGTGAAGAAGTCAATAAAGAACTCACAGAGCTCATTATACGAATCACGGTTATCAACACCAATTCGGCATTTAACACTGACAGGAACATCTGTGTTGGCAGCAATCACTGACATAGCCTCAGCAACAAACTTCTCTTGTACAAACATAAGCCTGTATCAGAGAAAATTCACAAACAAACTACTGCCAAGAGTGGTTTAGTTACAATGTAAACAATCACAGATGTTCAAACCTTTGGATCAAGCATAAGGCGCGCACCAAAACAGCCACGTCCAGCTACCTTTGGGCTAGGGCATCCACAACTGGCAGATGAACAAATTCCTCAGTTCACTATTGAAAAAGGAGAAGGAAATGAAAGAAAACATTTTAACTGCAGAACGAACTTGAAATTAATCTCATCATAGCCATAAGCATTTGAAAGTTGTATTGCTTTTGCCAGATTATCCAGATTACTTCCCCCAATTTGAAGCACTATAGGGTGTTGCTCTGGAGTATATCCTAAGAATCTGTCCTGATCAAACCAATAAAATAATATAAAGTCAGAGGTCCCTAGAGACCAAACTATCAATAAAAAGAAAACCAATTTGTTAAAAGCAGGTAACAAATAACGAGACATATACTTGTAACAATTCCGAGGAAGAAGCAAATTAAGAAAATATATACAAATATAAAAATTATTGTTCAACCTGCAAAAAGTTGGTTAAGATATCAACTTTAGACCAATTAAAGGTCTGAAACACACTTCAAATGGATTCTGCTCAACTGAACATGTTCATGGGCCTCCAACATCATTCCAATCACCCAAAGAAGTTTTTAGCAGATTTGACCAACCAGGGTAAGTAGTAGGATTTCCAATTTTCCATTCAAACCATTCTTTCTTCATCCTCCCAATATAATAGAGTGTGTATAGGGACTTTCAGATCAGTGGGTCCCAGTGTTTTGAAAAGCTCGCCTAGGTGAAAAGCAAGACGAAGCGAGGTCTTCTCGCATTGAACACCCCAGGCGAAGCGAATGTGACTGAAACAAAGGAAAAGCGAACGCCTTAGTTATGCAAGGTGAGCTTGTGTTTTATTTTTATTGTTGACCGTTGGATTGGGGCAATTGGAAAAAAAATTATAAGATGCCCATACATCCAATTACCCCATTTTCCTATAAATATAAAACTCAACCCTAATTTTGCTCAGGATCAGATCAGACGATCGATTGCTGCTCATTCCTCTCAGATCGACTGCTGCTCCATCCTCTCAGATCGACTGCTGCTCGTCACTGGTGACGGGTTTGTCTTCTTCTTCTCTGGTTCTCCTCTTTTTTTTCTCTTCTGATTTTCTTCTTCTTCTTTGCTTCTGTTGCTGCTGCTTCTTCTCTTCTAGTCCTATTTTTCTTTTTCTTCTCCAGTTCTCCTCTTTTTCTTTTCTCTTCTCCTCTTCTGGTTCTCAAATGGTCTGCTGCTACTTTTTTTTTCCTGCTTCTACTGATGTCTGATAGTGCTGTAATTTTTTTTTCTGCTTCTGATTCTGGTTCTTCTTCTGTTTTCTATTTTCTGCTTCTGCTTCTGCTTCTGTTTTCTGTTTTTTGTTTTTTGCTTCTCTCTTCTGTAATTTTTTTGTGCTTCTGATTCTGTTTTGTTTCTACTTTTCTCCTGTTTTCTGTTTCTTCTCGCTTCTATTTTCTATTTCTGCTGCTTCTGCTTCTGCTTCTGATAGTGCTATTTTTTTTCCTGCTTCTTTAATGTTTGTATGTTGCTGCTTCTGTAATGCTATTTTACTGATATTAGTACTGATTTTCTGTAATGATGATTGTTGTTTTTTTGTAATCCTGATGTTGAATGCTGTAATGTTGAATGCTGATAGTGCTGATTTTAAATATTAGGATTTGGGACATTATTAGTGTTTGTTTGAATTTAAATGTTTAAACTATAACTGATATTAAGATTTGAAATATTATTAATGTTTATTTTAATTTAAATGTTTATGGTTTTACTTACATTTAAATATTTAATATATATAAAATCAAAACTTAGATTTTTAGAAGTAATTAAACTACAATATTTACTTTTTTTTTTAACTGTTCGCTTCGCTTCGGTAAAGCGTTTCGCTTCGCTTCTCGCGTTTCGCTTCTCGCCTAAGTGTTAGGAGCCTTGGTCGCTTCGGTTCGCTTTACACCTTAAATAACACTGGTGGGTCCTATTTGTTAAGAGAACTTGTACCACATTAAATAATTAGGACCACCAAGGTTCATTTACTTACTTGAGAAGGCACTCCACCCATTGTCAATTGGTTTTAGGTTGGATGCTCTAACATAGAATTAGAGTAGGGCATTGGGTGGTAAGTGGACCAAGTTACATACTCATTTGAATTTTCCAACATGCATGGTTGGTTGGTTGTTTGTTGACCCTACGTGCAAACTCAGGTTCCACGGGAGGGAGTATGTTAAGAGAGTTTGTTTTCTACATCGAATAATTAAGACCACCAAGATTGGTTTATATACTTGAGAGGTCACTCCACCCATTATCAATTGGTTCTACATTGAATGCTCTAACATGGTATCAAAGTTGGGACCTGGATGGTCACTGATTAGTGGGTTAATTCTCTTAGTCATTTGAATTTTTTGGTATACATGATTGCTTGTTTGTTTGTTGACCCCACATGCGAGCTTTGGTTCTACGTGATAGATGGTGTTAAGAGAGTTTGCTTCCCACATCAAATAACTAAGATCATTAAGGTTGGTTTTATATACTTGAGGTTGAGGGGTTGTAAGGTTGATTTATATACTTGAGGCTAAGGGGTCACTCCAATCACTGTCAATTAGTTTTATGTTGGATGCTCTAACACCGTTAACTTTTTCTAACAAAAACCACTCATAAGAGGATCCCCATTCATTTGGGATCTCACTTGGGATCCAAAGTATTACTGATCATAAGATTCATAACATATATATCCAGCACTACAAACTTGGACTTGAGACATGTTCCTCTTCAGCTTGGCCAAGGAAATAGTATATTGTTGAAGATGTAACAACACCACCACGTGATACAACTGTAGGGCTTTCTTTAGAAATATGCTACATCAACAACCATATTGTTTCAGAAAAGTGCTTCACATTCTATTTAACCTTCCCAAACCAATTCGAACTTCAAAAATTTCCATCATTAGACACAGGCGTCCATGAGTTGATTCATTACAAACTTATGGCATATAATGTTTACATTCTTTATTCATAGCAGGTGAATAAACAATAGTTGAACTATTCTCTCACAAAAATCATCAAACACTTGTGAGGTACTACCTAGAAAGCCTACAGAATTACTCTCCCACTCATCACCATCATTAGGGTAGAGAAATCATAGATGGGTGGAGAATCACAATCCACTAAACTATCATTTGTTTAATTTGGTGATTCATGGATGCCTTCTAGAACTTCAATTTTGTCTTTGTTCATAAGATTAGCAATCAGCAGGTTAATGACCCCACCGTTGTTAGATCTCATTCAAATGGAGCTGCTTTATCTCTCACCCAGTTTTTGGGTAGTAGAGACAAAAATAATGAGAAGACCCTAATAATACTAGAAGATGATATGTCATGCCAGAAGAATACACATAATGCTACAGTATTCATATATAAGGATCAAAAATTCGTTTCGATACATTGTTTTGGTCACTTAGAAAATGAAAATGTTTTAACATATTTTAGAAATATTTGAAATATTTTTGAAACAGAATAAAATAAATAAATAATTTAAGAATTATTTTTTCAAAATATTGATCAAAATATACCAAAATATCTTGAAATACCTTGAAACATTACAAAGCACCTCAAAATATTATGAAACACCTCGAAGTATTAGAATTTCGATTTCATCACTATTTCGTTTCGGTTTCCTTAAAAACGGAAATACGTTTCAGATGTTTAGAAACGAAATTTTGATCCTTGCGCGTATAGTACAATTATACTTCTGCAACTAGAATACTGCAATGGACCTGCATCAATCAATCCGGAGTATAAAAAAAAAGAATGCAATACAACAAACAATTGAATAATCCTCATGCTCAGATTTTCATACTTGGAACTCTTCATAAAAAAACTCCCTTCTCCTCATAAAATTGCACAAGCTTACCAAATTTCCCGTCTGATAAACAATTGTTTCTGCAGCAATCATTTCTGTGTAGAGCCATGCATGCTTTGAAATAAGTCGAGCCAACGTCCTAAAATGGTTATCCGTCCAATCCATCATTGGAGCAACACTGCAAATCAAGCATGGCAGTTAATACAGGTCGTAGAACAACACACTCCTAATTCGGAAATTACTGAATATAATTTCTAAGGACACCCACCTGAACCAAGGAGGAAAATAGCGCCCAGCAACCATCTTGGAATTTGTATATGGTTGACGCTTCGGGTGGCAGGCGTATAGTTTCCGCAGTCAGTTGAAGATACAAAATAAATTTGATGATAATGTACCACAGTTTGACAGGAAAATAGACGGAATAGTAGTTGCTTTGAGTCCGAGAAAAGACCTCTCCAAAAGGGAAGTAAGGTTGCCTATAGCTTATGTCTCCCAGCCCCGTTATAGGTAGGAAACTTCTGCAGCAGTTACAACATTTTTCAGAGTGGATGGGACTATGGGAGTAAAAAAATCCAATCAAGTATGTCAAGCAGTGGCAGACTTCATAACCTCTCTAACTATTACACCATAGCTTGCTCTTTTATGTACACCTATCATTTAGATGCAAACGATATCACACACAGAGGACATGACGTGTTAAGACTATGTAGAGAGCTATGACATGTTGCATGCATGGATGGTCAATGCATTAAAAGAAACCTGTGGCGCTTCCTGCTTGTCTTTTGAAATACGTAAAGTAATGTTAGAGAGTTCGGCAATCAGCTTCAACTTTTAGGTTCCATTTTCAACTTTTAGTTCGAAGTAATTTAAACTAAGACCTATCCAATCTACCACTCCGCTTTATAAGCTGAACCAAAAGTCCTGAGTTTTAGAGTGCGGTTTTGCTGCAATAGCAGTTCATGTTACCAGATAAAGTTACCCAAACTGAAAAAAGAAAACTATAACAACAGAAATTAATGATAATATGCCTACGATTGTCGTACAAAAATAACTCAAAGGACATAGAACGGCATATAAATTTTAAACTCTCAACTCACCTCAAATAAGTTCCAAAAGATTAAAATGCACTAGGATCAACTAGCATCAAGATCCAAATATCACAAACACCATAGTGCCACATTTGGCATTTAGGCAACATATGGTTTGTAAATCATATATTAGATAACACCCAATGACTGGTTTTTCACATAATATCAACATTAGTTTGATCACAATCCTCCAATTCTCTATACATCAGCACCGGTTCTAAATTCCAATTGATCACAATCCTCCAATTATCTAAACTCAACAATCACAATTTTGTTAGAATTTTTTTGGGCAAACAATTATCCAACAACTAGGTTGGACTCACCAATTAAGTCCAAGTCATGTCATGTGAATTTCATCAAATAATAGTGTTTTAGAAATAACTCACAAAAACTCTTTTGGAATCTTATTGTACTCTACATCACTATTACTTCATTTGGTGTGTTATTATAAATTTTCAAAAAAAAATAATTATCTAACATTTCAATGAGTTTACAGCTGCAAGACTAAAGACTACCCAATATAGCAACCACACTATACAAGAATACCATTATCCTAATTCAACTCTATACGGTCAGATTACCCTATTTTTTAAAGACATTTACATACCCACAAAAAATTAGTTTGCATTATCGCTTAGGCGTGATAAAAAAAAAATAAAAAAATTGTGCCTTTGGCAACACTACATCCACAGCCTTTTTGTTTCATCCACAACCCTCAGCACGCATCCCCATTTAAAAAGTGTATATCCTTTAATTTTCCCAAGGATACACACTTTGTTAAATTACTTCTCCTCATTCAAAGGGTGCTTATCCTTCCCTTGCACCATCAAGACTCAAGCATACATTATCTTCTCAATGAGGAGCGCACTTAGAGCTACCCTTGTTGCTTATGTGAGAGTTATCGCTAGTCACTAGTAACTAGTAAGTAATTCAAGCGAGAAATTAGACTAAACTTGAGCCTGCAAAAAACGGTAGGCCACAAATAAGCAACAAAAGTTGTTTTTGTTTCAACAGGAAAGTATTTCCATTAAAATAAACAGAATTGAAGAAACAAAGAAACTCTTTAATCGCAAAGGTTAGAATGCAAAATACAGAAAAAATAATAATAATAATAATAAAGTGGTGAACGTGACCACGAAGGAAAAAAATGGGTAACTCGGAAATAATTTCCTTCGAACCAAACGGAATTTTTGGCGTTATAATGCTAAGAAAGATTACTTAAAGAAAGGGTTTGTGTAAGAGCAATTAACATTAAGACACGCAATTCATCGTATATAATGCATATACATTTCTTTTCTTTTTTTCTGTGTGTGTGTGTGTGAGAGAGAGAGAGAAGGGTTTTACACTAAGAAGGAGATCGTGTTCGCCGGTACAACGTTTTGCTTCCAACTCCGCGCCCTTCAGCCTTGAAAATACCAAGAGGGAGTGACCGACTCCTATATATATATAAAGCAGTGGATTTTTTTTTTAAAAAAAAAAGAAAATTAAAATAATTCTTCTTGCTAAAACATTGTATTTAGGTAAATATATATTACCGAGCAGTTGGTAGCGTTTGGAGCCGCCAGGGAACCAGCTCAGAGCATAAGCCACTTAAACCTCCCTCTACCAAAGTTTGGGTGAGACTCGTCTGCTGTTAAGTGGGATAACAACGTATTACCCCTAAACGCTATCGTTTTGCAGACTGCTAAAAAATAAAAAAGAAGGGGTTAAATGGCACCATTTTCTACTACATGGAGACGATGAAATTCCATCTTCCTCTCTAAAAATAAAATCTCAGGGTTGCTTCTTCACACTCTCCTACCCGCAATCCTAAAACCGCTCTTTTGGTACGATAAAAAATTTGAGAGATAAAAAATATTTCATGTTTGGTAAAAAAAAAAAGTAAGAATGATGAAAAAGTGGATGGATTAACTTTCCTTCTAACTCACTCAAATCAATCCATCCAAAATCGGAAGGAAAGTGGATGGAAAGTTAATTATTTGTATTGAAATGTATCTTATTTGTCTATATATTTTATTTATACATTAATTTCATATAAAAATACAATGACAAAATATGTATATATTTTAAAAATAAATTTTAAAAATAAAAAATTTAAATTAAAAAAAAATATTTTTCCATCTTAATTGAGGGTGAAAATTTTAAACTCAACACGATGACACGACTTGAACTCGATACGAAAATAAATAGCTCAACTCGCAACTCGACACGACATAATTAGTTAAATGAGTTAAGTTAGGTTTGACTAATATTCGACACAAACTCGTAATGACTTAACATAAATTTAACACGACACGATTCGACTCGATTGTCACTCTTAATCTTAATCAGCACAAAAAAAAAATATTTTAAAAAATAGTTATTTTTATTTTTCATTCATCTAACTAAATACAAAAGAAGGAAAATGTATCATTCCTACTTTTCATCCTTGAAGGATAGAAAGTATATCCCTTTTACTTTTCATCCTTCATACTTTCCATCTTCCCTACCAAACGGAGCATTAAGGAGAATTCAAGATTGAAAGGCCATAGATTTTCCCTCATATTGTTTGAACTATCATTAAAAATCCCAAAATCCAATATTTAAATTGGGTTGGTTGCAAACTTCATCTAAAAATTAACACTTCATCTGTAAGTTCAAATTTTTTTTTTTTCCAATGATTTCTTATTGTTTATGATTATATTTGATGAGTTCAAATTTAACTAGGCTAGACTCAGTAAACCAAGCAAGTTCATATCCACTACGAAGGCACCCCAAGATCGGTTCATCAATCCGATCCAGTCTAAAATCCAAGAAGTCCGGGAAGATAAGAGCACGTGGGAGAGAGATTATCGGAATATGCATTCATGAAAATCAATCTTACTTTAATAGTACTTACCAAATAAGTAATTTCTTATCACTCACCGCCTCACCAAACTTATATATTATAAGTTCTCTCCACATGGAGAGACATCTCTTCCAACACACATCTCTATACATTGAGTTTTGCCTCTCTACACCGCCCTACACACATAATTTCTCTCTCCTAACTAATTCCTCTCTCCTAACTAGTGTAACTCTCTTGGAGCATACACCTCCCGGAGCTCGCTCCCCGTTACTTTATTCATCAATAAAGGCCTCCTGCCACCGCTACCATTTTTCGATGGTGGAATAAATCATCCGAACCGAACCACTATAAATTTATGTGTTTGCTCATATTTACTATTTTGCCATTGGTTATCTTATTTATTGTTCATTAATTACACTTTTTCATATACTCGACTATTAATCTTGTATGAGATCAATTTGTACAACATCAATATTTAAGCTTTAAAAATGTACCATTATCACATCGAAATTGTAATCATTAGTGTGTTGACTTGTTAAAAAATTCGTTTATTAATATCTTATAGATTTGTTTACCATAATATATTGTTCAAATATATATCCTAGTTGGTATACACGTGAATTATTTTGAGTTATTATAATTTTTATTTACTATTTTTATAATAAAATTATAACTTAATCAAATTACAGTTAAATGATCATACTAAAATTTCTAAGAATACAATGCTCATGTGTGTTGCATATGAACTATTTTAAATTAGTATAATAATTTGTATTTTATTTAGGCATTTTACAAATATCAAAACTTATATTTTATTGTAGATCCATAAACTTATGACTCAGTTGCATAGTGGAGGTCAAACCAAATATAAGTAATTGATTATCACTATACAAATTAAAACAATCAAGGATAATAATTGATATGTATGACAAATAAATAATGATGCATAGATCTAAAATTCTTGAAAATTTTAGATGGACCTAGACCAATAGTTCAAGCTGCAAATTGGTTGATGAAGGAGAAATCCCCTTCAAATTAAAAAATAGCACACATACGTAACTTTGAGGAAACTATTTAAGTCTCCTTCTTCAAATTATGTACCACAATTAATTAAAATGTCCAACAAATATCTTCATTAAAATGTTTGGTTGTAATTCATATTCGTGATAATTATAACACTACTTTTTTATTGTTATTACTCTAAACAAGTAATTTATTAGACTTTTTAACAATAACCAAATTCTAACTATTATTTTGGATGTTAATACACACGGTGTGTTTTGTGCCTGATTTCTTTGTGAAAGTTCAATTTTGCTGGTATCATAAAATCTGGGATGAATTCACCAAAAAAAATAAAATTATAATAGATATTAGTGGAAGAACAATACCACAAAAGTAGTAGAGATGCACCAAACGTTGAGATGCAAAATTGAATATGTGGAGTAACACATGCTAAGAGCAACAAAGAAAGACACGAAAAAGATGGGACATCAAGAGTTTTTGGAAGAGGTAAAGAAGAGAGAGAGAGGTTTATTTGGAGTGGGAGAACATAAAGATGAAACGACATGAGAGAAAGAGAATATTAGGAGGCCTAAGTTTTTTTTTGGGAACATGAGGAGGCTTAGGCTTGTTTTGGCTTTAATGTTGAAGGATAAAAATAAGATAACTGTGATTTTAGAGGATAAAAGTGAAAAACAAAAATATTTTTTAAATATGCTTGTTCATATTTCATTTATCAAAAAACTATTCGTTTAAGCTTTTCAATATGTGTCATGTAGATTAGACATCTTAAACATTGTGCTTGTCAATATGTTTAATGTTATATTTTGTTCTTAATCTGATGTTGATATTGTATTAATATTTTTGTATTTTTTTGGCATTTTAGGGGACCTATTTATAATGGAGATGAAATGTGCTAAGATTGAGATAACAAATAATACTCCATGTATTGACATGCAATTTGACATAGAAGAAGAGGCTTATAGATTCTATAACAAGTATAGATGATCTAACAAAAGAGACAACGAGACTTGCACTATGATGAAACAAGTAGTCTGTTAAAATATGTCCAAACAGAAGCAACAAAAAATCCAAATTGTTCAAGTTTGCGATTTTTTGCTAAATTTTAAAGTTACACAAAGTGTTCAAATTGTCACTCTCGTAGTTTATTAATCTATTTGTATATTTTTCTTTCTCAAATGGATTTTTAATAATTAATCGATATGTTAAATATATATATAGGGCTTGTTTGGTATACGTATTATAAAGTGAATTAAATATTATATTGTATTATTATTTATTTAATCGGGCTGAATACTTTGTTTGGTAGATAGATTTGTTTTCTTATTAATTTAAAAAATATTTATTAATCAAATACTTATCATATATTTTTAGTACCATAGACTTGTATATGGAGGTATTTTAATACCACTAATAAAGCTGGTATTATTATCTATTTCAAATGTATTATTATACACATTTACTATTATAACCCCGTAACTGATAAAATCAAGTCGTCATCAATGTAACAAATACTAAAAATACTGATTGAGGATATTTTTATTAATTTAACATTAATACAATGAAATAATGTCATAACCAAACAACCAACTAAATTAAATAACTACTATTTATTGCTTATATTGTGTATCGTCAAATACTAGATAAAATTACGTATTATTCTAATACCTTATTTAATCTTGTCTTTTATCCATATGTATTACATTAGATTGTATTACTTTATCCAATCCATCTATTTCTAATATGACAATCAAACGAGCCCATATATTTTTTATGAGGTGCTTGCAGTATTCAATTATACTTGGGAGTGGCACTAATTTTTTAAATTTTCAAAAAATTAATACTCTTTTTTTTTTTTCAAACAGAATCATAAATACTATATAGTGACCGGTAAGAACCATTGGGCCCATGTAGGCCTGTTTTCTCATTTGGTCCTCGCATTGCCATAAGGCCCAACACAACCCATTATGAAGAGCCTGGCCCATGCTTTTCACCAACTGATATATGCGGTGGAAAACTACCTAACTACCACATCTTTCCCTCTCTCTCTCTCTCCCTCTCTCTCCCTTATCTACTCTCCAGAGTTCACAGAGAGCTTCCATGGCTGTTATAAGTTTCAACCCCACCAGAATGAAACACTCCACGGCTCAATCTCACAAACCCATAAACCCCTTCACCTCCCTCTCAAAACCCACCAAAATCTCATTTCACTCCTTCAAATTCGCCACAGAATCACCCAATAAAACCCTCAATTTCCAGAAATTCAACTCGGTCTCCGAAAGCTCGGTTTCCTTGCCAATGGAGGCCGAGAGTGTCGACGAAGAAGATGATCCAACTGCAGAATTGAGCTATCTTGAACCGGAAACTGATCCCGAGAGCATTTCGGATTGGGAACTAGACTTTTGCTCTAGACCCATTCTTGATATTAGAGGGAAAAAGATTTGGGAGCTTGTAGTTTGCGATAATACGTTGTCGCTTCAATATACAAAGTATTTTCCTAACAATGTTATCAATAGTATCACTCTAAAGGATGCTATTTTATCAATTTGTGATGAATTAGGTGTCCCTTTACCGGATAAAATTCGATATTTCAGGTTAGTTTATTGGTAATTTTTCATGGTTCACTCAGTTATTTGGGCGGTTTTTCTGCTTCTTGTTTTGGTGTTGCATTGTATAGATCAAGTTGATTAATTTTTTTCATATGGTTTATAGGTCACAAATGCAGACAATCATTTCAAAATCATGCAGAGAGCTTGGAATAAAACCTATTCCTAGCAAAAGGGTGAGTATTTATTACATTATAATAGTATCTTTTTCGCTTTCTCTTCTGTTGATTGTTAAATTTAGCTTCATATGGTAACTCTATTTGGATATAAGCATTATACCAAATAGATTAAATATAATTCCATTAATAAACTTGTCTATAAATTTATGTGCTATCTCTGATAATTTAGTTGTTGTTTGATGGGTTGGTTGGCAACATTTTATGCATGAATATTTTTGATAGCTTTCCATCTCAAATATAACACTATGATATTGTCTCTGATGATTGGGGTTGTGGGAGCATTAGCCTGTCACATGTGCCTAATTCAGAACGATTATGGACTGAAGTAAGTGAGCACCCTCAAGTTCAAGTAGAGCCCTTCAGTTTCACAGAATTACGTACTGCTTGTCGTTTGAGTGATTCGTATAAAGCAGGTTTCATATAGTAATGGCTTTGTTTGAAAGCATTTAATTCTTTTGGGGTTAATTTTTCTTTTCTTTTTATCAACTTATTGGTTCGGAATTGATGCGAAAGTGAAACTTCATTTTTCCTGTCGAGGCTACTATGTGAAAATGACTTCTGATCAAACTGACATGAATTTTGCACTAGTGTTGTTTTGTTTAAATTTTAAAACTTCAAAAACTGCAGCCATTTGCTTTGTTGAATAAGTAGAATTACATATTGTGCGTCAGAAAAAAAAAAGAGAATTATTTTGAAATTTTAGAATCCTGAAATAGGTACTCGGTTGAAATTTTGTGTTTGTATTCTTCGGAAATTTTCAGTAAGTTGATTGCTATAAATAATTTCAGTTACTATGTGTTATTGGAAGTCGTTCTTCCATGAATTCAATTCGAAGCACCCAAAAAATGTTACTAGAAATGGTATAAAACTGTGACAATGCACACCCAAAGTAAGGCTTTCACCTATGCGAGTATGAATTGAACTGATGTTACCTTGTCATTAATTTTCGCATATGGATGGATACATCGAGATATAGCATGATTACACTGTAGTGCACTGCCTCGATGAAAAAAAGAGGCTAATTTTGTGTGATACCAGATAATTAGTCGCTCTATATCATGACACCAGCTACTAGAATAGCAAACTTGCTACCAATGCCATCATAGCTCATGTAAACTATCCGCTTACATGCCTTATGTATTTGGAGTTCGTTGGCCATGATGTTCATCAATAAATTTTAAAAGCCAAACATTAAAGAATGATGAGATCATTATTCATCATTGGCAAAACCATTTATGATGCATATCTGTTTCTACTTTCCAGTCATCATATGCCTTATCTCTAGTTCCTTTCATGGCTTCATCTATACATTATAATGGATGTCCCACAAACGGCCTACCTTCACATAGTAGATATTTTGCAATATGTAGTCAAAAAGGTATCTATCTGAGCCATGGGGCGGTCGCGTTTTCTTAGTTCTGATGCTCTGCTTTCTGTTCATATATTTTCTTATGGTTTCTTTGTTCTGTTTCAGTGTCTATCCTTGCTTCTTTGGCTGCAAGAACGGTATGAAACTGTATACATGCGACACCCTGGTTTTCAAAAAGGATCTAAACCACTTCTCACATTAGATAACCCATTCCCAATGGAGCTTCCAGAGAACTTGTATGGAGAAAAATGGGCTTTCGTCCAGTTACCTTTTTCAGGTACATTCATATTGCTGTTTTAGTTATATGAACTGATATAAGGTTTTCTCTATTTAAAGAGCGTCTGTTTTTTGAAACTGTAAAAATATTATGCAACATTCCATTTGTCAGTTTCATCTATTATCTTTAATCCATAACCCAAAACTCCATTATGTCTACTGAAACTGCATGTCGAACTTTAGGAGATTTAGGTTGTCGGTATTGTCCAAACTACCCGAAATTTTCAACGCACCTTACTGAAGATTTGCCACTTTCTCTTGTCCAATTCTCACCATGCAAAAAAAAAGATTGTTTAATACACTTTTTGCAGCATGTTCTGCTGTAGAATTACAATTTTTCCTATTCTCAGCTGTTCAGGAAGAGGTATCATCTTTAGAGACGAGGTTTGCCTTTGGTGCAAGTTTAGATTTGGATCTCTTAGGAATTGAATTTGATGACAAGACATTGATTCCTGGACTGGCTGTTGCAACCTCACGTGCTAAACCTTTGGCAGGTATATGTCCTTTCAATATCCACATTGAGCATCCACATTTCAGCTATGTTGCTTTATATGTTCTCTCTCGTGGTCTACTAATATACTTCCTTCATATTATTACATAACATAGTCTATAGAATTCTCGTACCATTTACATAAGAGTTGTATTTAAGAAATTCCGCTAAGTAACTCTACTCATCTTTAGGTAATTATCTGAGTTGTCACAATTTTTTCATCTTTTTTCCTTTTCCTCAAGGATAGCAGGTAGGAGCAGTGATACTGTGAATTTGATACTCTATATTCCGATTTATTTCTCTGTATTTTTTTCTTCTTTTTGTGTTTTTTTATATTTTTCACTTTGTTTTGGCTGCAAGAAACTTAGTAAATCTTCTAGGAAGCAAACTGACTTTATAAAAGTACAAGGCAAACTAAGTTTATGAAAGTAGTAATTTCCTAAACTCTGCTAGTGTGGGATGAAAGTCCGAAAATCATGAATCGATTTATTTACTGCTAGTGTCTTATTGCAATTGCCAAAATTGATTTCAAAAGTTGAAAACAAAAATTACTAGGAAACTTAGATGAAACATTATGGAGGTTTATCTAATCATTAGAATCCAAGGAAAAAAAAAAGTAGGAGGCTTAAATGAAAAGGGGGTGGAGCAAAATAACAGAAATAATTGCAACTGTTTTCTTTCTTGATAACTATCACACAATTTTCCATTGCAATTTGGTTGCGATCTATGTGGTTACTACTTTGTGTTGTGAGTAATTTAATTTACCTATCATATTATTAAAGGGGACCACTGGGTACAATCTTGGCGTAACAATAAGGGTATTATATTGTGACTTAGAGGTCATTACTTTGAGTTACATAAATAGGCACTCTGCTTGTAGGGGTAAGAACTGCGTACATTTAATCCTCACCAGACCTCGCAATAATGGGAGCCTCGCGAACTGGGTATGCCCTCATTATTAAAGGGGACCACTGGTTCAGACTTCAATGGTTAAAATCTGGCTCAATAACCTTGAGGTTATTTGTTCAAACCCGAGGACAGCCACTTTGTACAAAAAATGTCAATTGTCAAAGGCTCTAGGAAACCAGTAACTCTCCCTCCTCTCAGTTCCTTCAAAAATCAGGTGGAACTCCACACACTATCCTTTTTTTTTTTGGGGTCGGATAAATGATTTGAGTGATTGTTGCTAAGCATGTATGCACACGTTGTGAAAAATGAAATTGTTTAAGTCGTCGCTATTTTGCTTTATTTATTTTATATATTTTATTTCCTATGGTTTTTTTATTTTTTTTTTCTGCGAACGATCTATCCAATACCTTTAATGCCCCCATTTGGGTTATAGGCTCGCCCTACCAGGCCCGACGTTCTTCCACCGGACAAACAAATCTTAAATAAGGAAATATAACCCACAACATTGTCGATGTGGGATGGAAGTCAGAAAAATGCAATTCAACTTATTTAGAAAAAGCATCTTAGTGCGGTGTTGAAAGTTTATGACAAATTGAAGTAATGATACTCCAAAACGGAAATTATACATTTTTGAGCCTTATACAATCATTGACAATCAAGAAAAATAGTGGGAGACTCGAATGGAAATGAGTGCCAACATAAGAAACAATTAATACTTGGATGCCATGGTAATTATTATTAGTACATAGGAATTAAATTATCACTAATGATACACATTTGTTGCTACGATCTTCAACATAGATTATTTGGTAATGTGCGCACAATTTTAACTGCAATTAAATACAACACAGGCAACAGTTGTTTTGGGGGCTTTGTTGAAGATCTCTCGCAAATCACAGCCATTACCTTAATAGCATACCAAGATAGTTAATGTACTGAATAGTATATGTCATGTCTTCAGTCTTCTTCTTCTTGGTTTTGTCATCTTTCACTCCCAAAGATTTATTGTATTTTTTTTATTTTTCTGTATTGCTATAACGCCTATAAATGTTTGCTTTCTTATGAAAATCTCTGTACCAATACAGTACTTCCTTGCCAGTGTACCTTGAACAATGTTATACATTTTCCATCTCTAATAAGCTCAATTTTGACCCTATTCTGTACTGCTGCAGCTTGGATGAATGGACTAGATGTGTGTTCAATGGAAGCTGACATAGATCGAGCTTGCTTGATTTTGTCAGTCGGGATTTCTACACGCTACGTTTATGCCACCTATAAGAAAACACCTGTAACTACAAGTGAAGCAGAAGCTTGGGAAGCAACGAAGAAGGCCTGCGGAGGCTTACATTTTCTTGCCATCCAAGGTGACTTAGATTCTGATGATTGTGTTGGATTTTGGCTCCTTTTAGACTTGCCGCCTCCACCTGTATAGTCTAAGGTATAAATAGCATATTGTCTCATACATTTCTTTCTTAATTCAGCCACGAATGATTGCGAGTCCACCACATTTTTTCTTTGAAAGCTAAGTTCTATGAGCTGCTAGTTCGATTTGTTTGGCTAAAGTATTTATGCTTGGTTCTACACGAATAGTGTGAAGATGGCTATTCATATATTTTTCCCCTGTCGGAAACGACTATTTGTTTTATGCCTTCCGTTTTGCTTCAACTTGTTGCTGTATTTGCAGGTGGTTTGAATTAATTCAAGAATTGTCCACAGGAAATCGATGTGGGTGGTAAAACTAGAATGGTTTCAAAGTGAAACAAAAGTAAATGCTATATGTCTCAAATTCTAAGGCATTTTCAAGTGCTTTCTGTTTCTTTCCCTCCTTCTAAATGTTTCTATGTGTAAATGTTTTTTTGAACTGGCTTTCTCTCTGCAATTAAGTCCCAACAATGTCCTTTTCCAATTTCCATAAATAGCTGGTGAGCTTTATTGTTCTTATTTCATCACAAGTTAGTCTTTCTTAATCTTTTTTTTGCTGTTGTGGTTTTGGGGGGTTGGAGTAGAGTTTTCAAGCTATGACAATGAGGCTTTGGAGGAAAGACAGAAATTGGGTAGTACTAATTGTAAATAGCAAAAGAAAATGGTTAGGGCTATTCCCACCCCGCAAATCTCTATTTCCACCCCATTTAATTTTTCATTATCAAACTACTAAACATACCCTTTTTATACCCACCCCATTAGTAAATAAGCTCACCCTCATGCTACATACACCCCCTTTAATAAGTAAACATACTTTATACTGGGTTTTATTCTCTATCTCATCTTATACACTCACAAAAATACTTTTTCAATATGAATATTTTTAGTGAGATACAAGTTAATATTACTTTTCAATTTAATTATATGTTTGATTTCATATTAGTTTTCATGTTTGTTATGAATTTTCATTAATTTCAGTATATTTTGATATCTCTATCAAGTTTAACAATTTTTTATTTAGAACTTATATGTTTGTTTATATATATATTTTTTGATTATTTGTACTTGTTTATCTTGTTAAAATTTTGCATCTATACTTGTTATTTTTTTTTTCTGGTTCGATTTTGTATGTATACTTGATGCTTGTTTATTTATCATATTCAATTTTGCGTCTTATAATTTTGCTTGTTCATTTTATCTTTGTTGGATTTTTTTTCTCCTTGTTTCAGTTTGTTTGTTTCTTTTTTATTTTTTTTTCCTTATTTCGTTCTTTTCTTTTTTCTTGTTTCTGCATGCTTATTTTTTTTCACTTGTTTCATTTTTTGTTGTTTTTTTTTTCTTGTTTCAGTTTTGTTTAATTTTTTTTCTTGTTTCGTTAATATAATATGCATTCAAACTAATTATTTTTTTTTTCTTACGATGACTTTTTTCATTAAAGAGGTATATATATAAAATAAGTGAACTTAACTATTAATAGAGTTTATGTATCATAGGGTAGGCTTAGTTACTAATGAAGTAGGTATAGAAAGATTGAACTTAGTAGTGTGATAATGACAAATTAAATGAGATTGGAATGGAGATTTATGGAGTGAGAATAGCTCCACCCAAAGAAAATAGCATTTGTTTTTGTGCATACTAAATTAAGTCAACTTTACACGGACAACCTTGTCATTAGATAAAAAAATAAAAATACATACAAAAAAATTATTTTTTGATACCATTAATGATTTAGTTTAAAAACCTAATGTATAGTAATTCTTGAATTCTCAACATTGAATAAATTCATTAGTTATTTAATAACCACTATAACTTTAATCCTAGTCTCTAAATTAGAGACAAGCCCAGTTTTAAAAAAAAAAAAGGAGAGACAAATAGCATTGGAGAGACACTTTTATCTTCTCTTGTTTGAAAGCCTATATTTCTCCATTTTTTTAATGATTTTGGATTAACCATTAAAATTGACTAATAAAAGTTATAAGTCAAAATTTTTTTTTTTACTAAATAACTTTTCCACATGATATTTATACATTTGATTTATAGTAATATATATATCAAGTATGTTTGAACAAAACTTTTCTCAGTTGTGTTAAATATTAATCTATCAATTATTGCACTTTAGTCCTAAAGCACTATTCCTCCCCAGAAATGTCACACTTCATTTCACGAGATATGAGACATTCTAATTGAAGGATCATACCCCTCTTGGACGTAAGGAATAATTGTCTTGGACTAAACCACAAGGGGTGTAGGAGGTTTGGGCATCCATGTCACAAAACCTTTCTCTAGCCAAGAATCCCATTATTAATCGAATCGAGGCGTATCCAATTCATTGGCAAATGAAAAATCTATTGCTTTAAGACTCCAAGAAAAAAAAAAACATAGAAAAGAGGAAAAGCTAGGTAAGCAAACAAGAAGGAGAAGAAAGGGGCTCTCAATCTCTAGGAAGATCGTGTGCAGGATCTGATAATCTAAGTCTTGCTTCTTTTGGTCGGCTCGTATTTGCTGGCCACTCCAAAAAATCAGAAGGGATTTTCAGAGAACTGAGCTTTAACAAGAATAATCTATAAATTCTCTAACCTCAAACTCACTTTCCCCCTAAAGCCTTCACCATCTTTGGCAGTAGTAAAAAGTGAGTCAGCCATTAAGAGAATAGTTTTTCCTAGCATTTCATCTCAACAACACCCCCCATCAGTAGCCAAGATGAGGAAAAGATTCAAGGTTCAACATGCTCACTGATCTCCTCTTGGGTGGGTGATCCAATTATGCATCAAAGTGAAGATTCAACATGTTTTTCAAACTGAATGAAAATGCTTAGATGGTAGGGGATGGAATGGAGATATGAATATAGTATACCCATTAACAGCCTACCAACGAGTTTTCCTATCCCAATGAAAGTCCTAATTCCTGCCGGGCACGACCAATATACAGCACCCAATTACACGTCACCTACAAAGGTCGTTTTTAATTCTAGAAAAGGTTAAAAAAAAAAAAAAGAGGCTCAAACATGTATTCCACGGCATTTAGAGAGATAATAGAAAAAAATTAAATTATCAGAGAAAAACACAAAAGGAGGTTAATAGGGAAAACCTGCCATTGGCATAAACATGATTGGATATCATTAGCTCCTCATGTGTTAACAAAAACCAATTGGCCACAATGCTAAGGTGAAGAGCAAGCTGAATCTCTGAGCAAGCAAAGCAAGAAAACCTTTGATTTCTTACAGCCTCAGAACATCCAGAGATTGAAATCAACCATGATACTATTGGTTCGCTCCACTGCTGTAAAAATGGAACGTCTCAAATGATATGATTGTCTTTACTGAATAGCTTTAAGCTTTATGATTTTTACTGCCTTCGCTTCTGAAAAACAAAGCGAATTCCCTGCTTCCCAAATTCCAAATTCTTGGTCGTTCCATCATCTAGAACGACAGATACGATTGAAGTGCCTTCAAAGACATCAGTTACTGTTCCCTGCGCCTGAAAGGGAAGAAATTCAAATTTCAGCGTTATGCATAAATTAATAGAGCCTTCAGTGGAAGAGGATAGTCTGGTGGGACAAATTACAATCTATTTCGAAGCCAGTTTCAATGTACAGACAGCATCTGGGGTCAACACACTAATAAAATGGACCAAATTCAGAGAATGGTGAAAACCAGGAGACACTGACCAGGAGTTGTCAGATGACTGATGAACTTCTACTCTCTTTCCAATTGCATCTTTACCCAGTTTTTGCAGTATCCAATTAACATCCATGATATCATTCATTGAGTTTTCATACCATTTTGACGGATCTTCATCTTCCTTGGCTGATGTTTTCTCCGTGAAGGCAGGTCTCTTTCTTTTTGACCTTAGTTCCTTAGCAAATCCTTTCTCATCCTCCCCAGGAGGGCAGGAACTTTGGTTCTCACTAGAGGGATTCTTGAATTTAAGCTTTAGTAAAGGTTTGGGATTCTTTGGCAAAGAATGCGAGAGTGACGGTATGCTACTAGTATCTTCATTCAAATAACCTGATACATCAGGCCTACCTTTCGTGTACTTCAGCAAAGATATCTTCTCACCTCCTCTTGCAGGGACCCTCACTTACAGTCTCAGTTGCAGCTGTGTTTCCCTCGGTGCTTCTTTTCCCTGGTAAAACATGTGTGTTCATGTAAGAAACAGATTCAAATCCATCAGCAGCTTTCCCCGTTACAAATTCAGGTGGTTTTATGTAATGTCGAAAATTCTGAATCAACTTTTCTGATCTTTATTAAGTTGCCCTTTCTTTTCTGTTGAGCTTCGAACCTTTACTTGGTCAGTGCAATCCATTTTATCTCCTGCAAGTAACAAAAAACGAATGATGTTACTAATCATAAACGATGCAGAAAAATATCTACTGCTAATAAATGACAAAATGTTTAGCATCATTGGCGGTGAAGGGGCAATATTTATCCAGAAATTGATAATGCTACCCAATAACCCTATCCACCACCAAACATATCGATGTGGCATGCCCGTTGTTCACCCTATGTTGGACCCTATCATAGCCAAAAACTACTGAGTACATGAAGACATAAGCACACGCAGACAACAGAAAAGAGTACGCATGGTGGAAAATTGAAGTCAGAAAG